TCTTTAAACTCTAATTTATAGACCAGAAACAGATAAATGCATCATCTACCTTACCTACATAAAACCACAACAAGGAGATGTTTTATTCATCTTATTCACGATAATACGGTACATCTTGTAAATTTAAAATATTATCATAATTAATAAAGGAATGTGATATATTAGGCACACTACTTTCGCATCTACCTAAATACCTACTTTTACTCTTCAGACTATAGCAAATTCACACATGTTGTTTATCTGAGATAATCTGACACCAACGCTTTTTTATGGTTACTTCTTTCTTAGACCATTAGGTGTGTGTATTATTATTTATAGCGCGCACCTAATTTTTAAAGAAAACTGTTTTAGAAAAAGGTTTCACCAAAATATTTGAAACATGCAAAGTCAAAATTTTTAAAATAGATGCCCATACATATCGTTATTTTTCAAAATATTATCTTGTCTAATAAGTGCCACCAATAATATACAAATATACAATCTTTAAACTCCTTGCCACTTCTGTGGAGTTTCTATATTATTTCTTCTTTAATATTGAATAATAATAATTAATTCATTAATTGAATCTAAATTGTGCTTAATTAAGAAGCGATGACTTGGAGTCGACTTCAGTATAAATTTTATATCATCTGCATGTAATAGATATTTGCAATTAGATGTTTAATAATATAATCAATGAAGAGTATAAAATTTATGAAACTAAGATAGAACCCTGAGTTGCTCCTGATTAGAATCTGTTAGACTTAAACCCCATTCGTACGCATAGTTGTCGATTTAAAGAATGATAATCTAATATATTGATTAGTGAGTCTAGAAAACCATATTGTTCAAGTTTTAAAGATATAATAATATAATTAATCCTGCTGAAAGCTTTTGAAAAGTCAGTATAGATTTCAATATTAAACGACCGGTAATAAAACAACACAGAGCTTCAGAAATTATACACTGAAAGAAATGAGCGTATTAAACTGTTTATCTAGAATAATGTGTATAGCGCATATTAAAACATTTATAACCAATATACAAGATACTCCTTATTCAATGAGTTTATGTTCCAATTGTATAGTAGGGAAGATTTGTTGTATAAAGACCAGCATCCGAAATTGTATATAACAATTATATTAACAGAATTATTCGTTCTTATACCGAATATGTTTCCGTTTTTAACGTGTAAAACGCGTCTTATAATGGTTAAGTGATCGTCACCTCTCGGTGCATAAATCGGTTATGATCGTAAAATTTCCGACAGTCCGCTGTGCATCGACTTACGACTATTACACGTCTAGTTTCATGAAAATGGGCAGTATAGGCACATGTTTTGTGGGATACATGATCATATCGCGTTGTGTGAAATGGAAAATTATTATGTAAGTATCTAACTGTTTTATGGCTTGCAATTGTTTTGTTTTTTCAAATGTAAATCTTGTCTAAATCTTAAAAATTATTATTTTGTAGGTCCTATTAGAAATCGCTGATGTTAAGTTTTACATAAGATGGAGGAACAGAAGGTTAACGCGGTGACAAAGAAGAGCATGGGTATAAAGTCAATCAATCAGAGGAAATAAAATTAGATCGAAAGAAGCTCAACCTTTCAGGGGATGCTTCATTCTTAAGGTGGAAGAGTTATAGTGTAAATTTTCATGTAATACAAGAAAATGCGGGTGCATCGTTGCTAAGAAAATAAACTGGACAGTTTTGGGAGCGATTTGTCATCATTTTAATGCTTAAAAGTATGTTTTATGTATGTTTACATTAGAACCTTAGCTTGTAATTACAGTTATCCAATAAAATTTCTGAAAACTTAGTGACATATGTTTTTAACTCATACAGAGTATGCAACAGTTTAATACATTTATTTTTATAAAACTTATAACCAGTACTAGATGTTCTAATAACGATATGGAACACTTTAATAACAGTTATTGCTATTATTTCGTAAAGGGTATAAAAAACGTTGTATACTAGTTATACAATAATTTAATAAAGAATAAGGTTTATAGTCACTATACAACTGTGCTAGCAATACGCGTTTTGTATCCAATATTCACCTGTTTAACTGTCACATATAGTATACAATGGTCTTATAATGGCATATAGAATTCTAATAAAGAATAAAACGCATTTCTTTCAGTGTACTTTGCAGATAATGGGAGATATGCACATAGTTCCAAAAACTTTGCCAAATTATTTAGAATTGCCATAGCTTCAGATATCATTTCGATTACCTCTTTTCAATGCAATATAAACTCTAGATTTTTCCCAAATATTTAGAACAGTTAGAAATTTCAAAAATAAAAGGAATAGGATGGAATAATCAAAATACTGGGATATCCATCCGGCTCATCCGTCGCATTAGGTTTAAGTTTTTTATTGTCAACATACTTTTTTTAACTAATGATATTGGTAGCCTTATTTTTATTCAGTTTGTTGTTAATAGTGGGAAATTAGAGGCCAAATTTCAAAGAAAAACACCAAATTTTCTCAATTGTCGACGTTTCGTCACTTATCGTGACATCCTCAGGACACTATAAAATTTAATAATTTCAAAATTACATCACAATTTATAAATAACAAACTTAACATTAAAATATTAAAAAAGTGTGTCTAAAACATTACAATAAAATGAATACAGCAATATCTATATAAACATGAAAAAAAATTACAAATACAGACAAACTAACAATGTTTATATGTCACAAATTTAAAAACAAAAGTATTAAAATTACATAAACAAAATGTTTTTATACTTTTTTAAATTATTTATTAAAATATCAGTGAAGAAATACATATTATCTGCGTTAAGGTAGTCAGATAAGAACCATAAAATTTGGACCTGAACTGAAATTCCAGATGCCATATCAGTGATTTGGTGTACAAAGAAATATATCGGCATATTCTTTGGGACCTGTAAATAAAATACCTCGTTAGAAAGGTTGGAGGTATTTTACCAAAGATAAAATATTTAAAACCATCTTAAGATATTGAATATTGAAAACTGTATACATCTCTTTAGCGTATAATCTCAACTGTCGTATAGGATTGGTTGGAGTGGTGTACATCATAGTCATCTAGATAATTTGCATTACAGAAACAGATTTTAAAAAGCATTTTTGAAAAACCGTACAATTTCTCATCTAATGTTTTAGGTAAACAAACAAGCATGATGACAGAACTGTTTTGCTTTTGCCTAGAAGTAACAGAATTGATAAAAAATAAAAAATGTACCTATTGACGCCACATCAACATAAATAAAATAAAGGTAAAATGGTGGCATAGTTCTAGCTTGTTCTGAAACAAACAATAGATCAACGATATGTAGATTATACTGCTCCTAGGCTATATGTGATAGTTCTATCTTACGTTGTAGGCATGATGACAGTAACCAAGAATCACTAAAATTATGTATTTTTCTAATGAAATATTATTCATGGATTATAAAAAACGTATTTATTTTTATATTATGAGCGAAATAGATAATATTTTTGATAAAATAAAAATACAAAATACAGCAAACCGCCATGATAGATTGAACACCAATCAGAGCGAATTACGTCACATGTAAATGTCATTTTATGTCATTTGTACTTCGACAATATCCACAGTATTTATCTTCGTTTAAATATTTTGTGTTTCCCAACTATCAGTTCTTTAGTTTTGTGTTGCCAAAACCATAATCAGGAAACGTAAGGTACTTGAAAAGTTTCTAAAAGAAGGAAAGAAAGTAAAGTTCAACAACTGCGAGTTAATAAAATATCAAAAGAACTATGTTTGTGATCAAAAGTTTATCCATGCATAAATTGGTGTTGAAATACAAAGAACAGTCCTGCGACACATTTTTGAAAAAACTCGTATTGACTGACGAAGATGACATGAAAGTTGAAGAATATACGAGACCAACATCAAAGCTGTTTTTGGCATGAGTTAAGATATGGGATAGTGACGGCCTCACAAGCGTTTGAATGTCAATATTTTTCTACTAAACCTTTTATTTTCTACAAAAATAAGATATTTTTTGGAAATAGTAAATACTTCCGAACATCGTAGAACAGCTTTTCAAAATCTGTCATCATGCCTTTACCTACAATAAACAATTTTTGAAACTAGATTGAAAAAAAATATATTAGAGACAGATAAACAAGGTTTTGGAGATATAGCATAATAATTAATTCATGTAATAAGAAATGATACACTTGTGATTGACAAATAAATAAATACATTTAGAAACAAAATAATAGATGTAACATCAATAAATTTACATCCCACTTATATATGACTATGTTTGTCATGGTATTTAACGTATTATCCCAATCGTGTTAATAGTTTTAAAATTTAATCTCTATTACTTCTAATATCTTCTTATTGCATGTATTTCTTATTTTGGATGTCTTTTTTGACTATATTGTAAGGCTATATCATAAACAAGCAACGCTATATGTTGCTTCCGTGCTTATTCAAATTTTCTTATGTTTTTCTTGTAAACTATTATTGTCCAAGACGAAATCAGACATTATCAATATTTATACATATTTGTCGTCGTTATCGAGAAAAATAATTTGACGGTGCTGTTAAAGTTCTCAATGTGCTATTTACGAAAGACTAGAACTTATTAGGGTTGGCTTTCATTAGACTTGTATTTGGAATTTGGATTGGATTGGATCGGATGGACTGGACTAGATTTTTTGGATTTGGATTTTATTGGTTGGCTTTCTTTTCAATGGTCAATGTATATAAGGGCTGTTCCAGAACTTTTTTATCAATATTTTTTTGGTATCCATCTTTGCTAGAAATTAGATATATCTTTAAATATGGAATAGATAAGTTGATGCCAGATATTCCTTGCTTTCCTTTGCTTATAGGTATCCTGCTGATGACTCTTAAATTATTTTGTTCATTTCCACTGAACTCTGAATGTTAGAGATGTAGTTCCTCGTCCAATTGTCCTAGGGGTATCATCGGTATATTAATGTGTTGACGATTTCTTAGACACAGCGTTCATGTACCTATGTGTGTGTTGGCTTTCTTTAAACGCTGCTCCCTAGGGTGATATTTGAACTGTTGTTTTGGATTGGGAGTTACTGATTTCACTCTATTGCTCTTTAAGGCTTCCATGTAGATGATTTCCAGGTTCATTTTACAACCATTTTCTATAAATAAGAAAAAAATACAAAAATATTTTGATAATCTTTAGGAACTGTTTAATTAATTAAAAGCCTCTAATTCACTAGCACTTCTTCAACAATAATAAAACAACAATAATTCATTTAGTGTCTATGGATTAATGGACATTCTAAGCATTCCGCTCTTACATAAAACTAAATGTGAGATTTTAGAATTTCAATTAATTTGTATTAACATTTCATTGACGCAATTAAAGAAACGTAAATTGGTTCCTGTAAGCGCATGTGGTGGAATAGAATTACTATACTTAACAAAATTACCTCAGTCCCTTTTGTAAAAATTATGGTGAATTGACTGACAGCGTTAAAATAAGAATATAACAATTCTGGCGGTAGTTATTCTCTCCTTCCTCATGCAAATCAGGTAAAACTAAAAACAGTTTAAATTGCGTTCTGCATGTAGATATTCCTAGCGTGTGGCACAAACGTAACAAAAAATACCTCGAAAAGCACGATCCGCGATGCTTTTCAGTAGGCAAAGCAGTAAGTACGAGCGGTAACCACTCTTTCTAACTCTCACCGAGCTATCAACTTCTTGCGAATAGATCAAGACAGCGAATGCATTCACTTGTTTCTTGAATACCACGTGCTTCAGGTGTTTTGCCGGTTATACGATCGTAGTAGTTGGTGCATTGAACTATACGGTGCGTTTCTTGTTCTAAACAAATGCGTAAACGGACAAAAGGCAATGCAAAGAAATTACATTGTTTTGTTAAATTTAATTTCAATTAGCTAATATTTGACCCGGAAAGTGTTTCACATTTGGTGACAGTGAGGTTGTGAAAAATTTGTTGTGTTTGGAAATCTATCCTAAGGAATGATAAAGGTATTATTTACTAATTTTATGTCCGGGTAATATTTTAAAGTTATAAGACAAATTTTATTTTGAGAAAAAAACATCTTTTATTCAACCTCGATTATCTATAGTGAATTTATTTTGGTAATAAACTAAAAATAATATAAAATATACTGCCTATACTGCAAACCTACTGTTCTTTCTAATTCTCGTTCAAATATGAACTGATTTGTTTTCCACTTCAGTGATCAATCATATCAATATCTAAAAAATATCCTGAATATTTCTTATTTTTAATTAATAATTTTATACAGGGTATTAAAAAAGATAAATATTTATAAAGATAAAGATTAATAACTTGTATAAAGCAGGCCCCAAATGATGCGGTTAAACATAAATATGTTAAGTATTTGTAGATTATTTGGCCAAAATCTGTGGTAGAGTCCAATAAAAACTTTCCAATCTAAAGTACCGAAATTTGAAATTTTAGCTATATAAATCAGGTTTCAGGCGTCACTATGTTCCTGTTCTGAATAAATAAGAATAACCTTGTACGAAGCAGCTGTTTTTAGTAGTTTTTATGTTTCTTTAAAACGAATTTAAATTTAATAAATAATGTTGAGAGCAACAAGTAATATATTTTCTGTAGTTGTAGACTTATAGCTATTTAATGTAATTTTAAACCCGACATTTTCCGCACTTTAAAATGGTTCAAATGTATTTTGAGAGAAGGTGAGCAGATAGTAAAAATTATTTTGTTATAAGTACCTATTTGTTGAAACATAATGGTTCTATAATTTCCTCAGACATAGATGTCATCTTCTGAAGTCAATTATTTTAATCCAGTCAATTTGGAATTTTCGGAAAAAGTAGTACAAGCTTTTAATTTGAGTAGACCTCAAGAGTAGGCAAAAAGTCAGAAAACACATGGTGGTTCTTCAAAAGAGATTTAAACCAGATTTCCTAAAACTCACCCTCACCATATTGGTCATTAGTGTGTTGTATTTTCTTACTTTCTGAATTTTAATTTGTCAATTTCATAAAAAAAAAACGATTATGATAATTTATTACTATGGTGTAAGTGCTTGGCTAATAACAGATTCTGTAACCTATTATAAATATTTTAATTATACAATAAATGACAATATTTAAAATCAATAAAAAAAAAGAAAAATGACACGTTATAATAGCATAACATGCTTTCCTCCTTTATATGTCAATTTCTAGACCAAATTTTAAAATATTATTAATTTTCAAGTTGATAGTTAATAATAATTAACAGTTAAAGTGTTATATTATGTTTACCTTGTTATATACGTAAGGCATACTTTGTATGTATCGATATGCACCATCCACACAATAAGGCATTCGTTTACGTCTGACAAATAAATATGTTTGGCAAATCTATGGTATTTTAGGCCATTTAGTCGTCCACACTGTGCTGCTGTTTATATTCATTATTATCTTGTTTACCTTCTTTAGTCCATTGTTTTTTTATTACTATGTGTTTTACTAATGAATAATGTACATTTTTTTAAATTGTTCCATTCTGCAAAGCTATTTCCATAGGTTTTGCAATTATACACGTCTCAAGATGTATACGTATACTAATAGAAATTTGTCCTAAGGAATATGAGTAATAAAATATTTCCCATTTGTTTTAAACATTATGTTACGTTGTATTGTTTATGTTGCTTATTAAAAATGGGACACGGCTTAAAGACATATTGCTGACGTTAAAATAGGGTATAGCTAAAGATATTTTAATCAAATGTTGCTACCTTAAGGGTGTCAAAGCTAAAAATATTACACTAATCAAGATGAAAATTTCAGTGGGTATATTTTTTAAGGCAAGAAATATAGTATTCGTTTTGTGTCTACTGGTACATGATGCTAGTTGCACCTTATTGGTGGAGCAAATATAGTAGAGGACCCTGTTTGTTAGCTGTTCATCGAATATTGAAAATTATGACCAACAAATATGAACATTAATAACTAACTTTAAGTAAAAATAATATTGTGGTTAAAAGTCAGTCTGCATCTTAATTTAAAGCTTGTGACAAATTAATCTTCCTGATTAAAGTACAGTAAGAGAAAATTTTGTTTTCTTGAAAATTATTTAGTTTTTTGACATTAATTTACACACACTATACATTTTATAATAAGATGCAAGTCGTATTTTTTTGTTTAGTTCAATAATTCGCTTTTGCAAAATTTGCATGCATTAAAATAAAACAAAATAAAAAATCTAGGATCTTTCGCCGGTATAAATATTTGGTGCAAGTAATAATATTACAAAGACATAGAGATTGTTCTGTAGGGATTATGCAATAACTGATAGCAATGCCGCATATTCCCCAAAAGCAGAACTTGTTAAGAGGTTCCTATTTAACCCTCTATTTAATAGTTATTGAGTTGTATATATAATAATTCTTTCTGTAATTTATATAACAATACTATCTAACAATACGCAAAATTATTATGAGATAATGAAACATAAAAAAAAACATGAAACAAAATTAATATAAATGTATAGTAATAGTTAAATTTGCTAAACACAAATCTATATTTGAATTCAATTTAATTGCAATTAGATTATGGAAAAAAATGCCTGGTTTATTTAATAACCAATCTTTAACGTGACTTAAAAATTACAAATGCATTTAATAATTTAGATTGTTTGGAATTTCGTTATTTACTTTTTGACCAAAGACATAGGCAGATCTTTGTATTGCGTTTAGTAGCAAGTTGTATCCATACAGTCAGTTTTCTGTACCATGTTAGGCACTTATGAATAATAATAAGCTTATTGACTTTTTTTATTCAGATACATAAAGTAAATAATTGCGAATATTAAGAATTTTTCAAAGATTTTATATTATATTATTGTAAACCCAATCCTACACAACATTTCGATATCGTAATTGAGATTCCACTAAAGTGTAATAAAGAACTATAAAGAATGTTTAAAATATGTTTCGGATATTATTTTTTTATGAAAGACTTCTAATTTTAACTACGTCACATTGTACTATGGAAAAATATTCCTAAATATTTAAATTTAGTTGTGATAGGGGCCTCATTTACGTGTACATCGCAGTATACATTTGTTGGTGGGAAATGAAACAGCTTAACATTGCTATCCAAAAATGATAAAAATATGTATATAGTTTTTCCAAAAGAATAGTTAGATTAAATCTATCGTTTATATGTCAGAATCAGCTTCAATTTTTTTAATAATACTTAATTGATTTCCAAGTTTCTTTTTTATAGTTTAGCAAAATCTATACTAGTTTTACTTTTAAAATGTTGCTCTTGCCTTCTGCCCATCTATAAAAGAATTTAAATATTTTATTTCTATAAAATTTAATATTAAATAAGTTACGTTATTTTTATTTCTTCATATGTCCCTTCTTCTAATCGATTGTAATAAATCCTGTGTAATCCACTCTTTTTTTAGATCACCTTCCTTTGTGAATATTTTGATGTTCTTAAATTAAATAACATTTTTTTGTGTATCTAAGTATGATGATAAGTATTTACAATTTTATTTTTTTAAATAGTTTTCTATAAGAGACAGTTCTTTTTGAGCTTCCTGTTTATTATTTTTTGCTTTAATTGACATGTCCCATTTTTAATGAAACATCCTGTATTTAAGGTACTTTTTATATTTTAAATTTAATGAAGGATATATTTTTCATTTCAACTTATATAACAAAATATCGTTTAAAACATAAATTTCAATTACCAACACATCAAATCTATTTTCACAGCTAAATTGAAACAATTATTAATTCCACTTTCTTATTAACTGTTCACCTTTTGACTTGAAAGCAAAATTAATTAAAAGGTATAATAATAAAATATAATTATGTCATATTGAGGAATGAATACACAAAAATATATTTAACTGAATATTCTCAAAAAATAGACTTGAATGTTTTTTCGCGAATAATTAAATAAATTCAATCCTTTTGTCCTATTAATATTAAATATTTAAACTCTGAATTTTATTTTGACTGTCCTTTAATAACATATATTAGGTTTATAAATAATTTAGTACTAATGTTAATGTCCACTTAAAAATATATGCTCTTGACATTTTGCCTCGTTTGAATTTATTCACAAAAAATGCAAAGATCTATTTTAAACTACTTATAATCTTAATGAATTTAGGTAAAATTAGTAAAATTATATGGTTGACCTTAAAGAAGTAAAAGTTCAAAACAAATGTAATGGTAACGACAGATAAATATTATTTCATTAAAGTACAATGGGTATGCGAAAGATGTAACAATTAAGTATATAAAACACAGTCTAATTAAAAAGGAAGAAACAACTTCACACGTCTGATATAAGTCCTGTACGTGAATCTGTGCTACGGCCAAATGTTGGTGCAATTTTAAACTTGAAAAAATATTTTAATCTACAGGTTGAGGTCAGAAAACAATGCAGTTTGTAATTAGACGTATTAGTGGTTATTTGTAGAATTAATAAGGTGTTAAGAAATTATGCTAAGTATATGTGTGTGCGGTTGAAGTAATTATTATATTTTAAGAGATTTTGATCTAAGAAAAAACAATTTTGTATTATGTAAGCAACTGAATTTCCTTTTTTAGTCATAAAACATGTTTATATACTATTTGAGTAGTAGAAACTGATTTCTTAAGGTCTTGTCAAGGGATCGCAATCAAATCTTTAAGGGTTAATCCATACTATAATGTCGATCTCGGTTCGTTCTCGGTCCCACCTCGGCCTGGTAAAATATTATTAAGTGAGAAACAATGTGTGCACTCATAGTATCCGTAACAGTCAAGTTCCGGTCATATTGTATAATGTGAACATGATTAAACTTTACCAGACCGAGATCGTACCGACAATCTCTCTGTATTGTTCAATTCGTTACGTAATTTTTTACAAATTTTATATACTTCCGACTCCACATAAGGATTACAAGATCTAAGTTCAACACCTACGCCATTCAGTGACCTGCTACAATTTTCTTTCAAGAAAACATAAGTTTGATTATA